ATATTTTTTCACACAGGCCTAATTGCCGTTAAATTTGATTTTGAACAAATAATTACACGAATGTATTAGACAGACAGACAGACAGACAGACAGACAGACAGAGATAGATAGATAGATAGATAGATAGATAGATAGATAGATAGATAGATAGATAGATAGATAGATAGATAGATAGATAGATAGATAGATAGATAGATAGATAGATAGATAGATGAAAGAAATCACTTTATTGTTCTATCTAATTGACCTGTGTCTGTTTAAGACGGTAATGGTGGCAAGAGCACGTCCTCAAGAAACGGCACTGAGACGTGTGTTAGTTTTGCGTGCAAGGCTGTTAGTGCAGAAAGAAAAAGAGAAAAGAGGAGACTAGAGCCCATCTGCTCGCCTTTGTGTCGCACAATCCAAGACTCCAATGAGGGGTCATCTGAAGAAGAGAGGGATCGCCCGCGGAGAGAACCACAGAAAAACCAAACAAGTCTTTGATTCTATTCGTTTTGTTTGGAAACACACATTGATTTAATTCTAGCGTTTTCCCTGTTCCCTTCTTCCAGGTAAAAAAAGGGCACTATAGCCTATTCGATTCTGTCTAAGAGACAAATAGACTGGTAAATAAAGGCTCCAGTATGAAAAACACAAACAATCGAGTGTACATAGCTCACAATAATAAGCATTTGAAGTAAATACACCCATGATTTATATAATAAAATGCATTAGACTAATATAAATATAACATAGCAGGCCTACGTAATTCCCTGATCATTTGTGAAATCCTACTTTTTTCCCCAAAGAATAGCAATTATGTGGTGATTGCAACAATATTACATAATGAAGCGTCAGACTTGTAAAATAAATTGTGGATCTGAATCCGTTCAAAGGCTGATCGCTGCACCGGCCAACTGGCCTTCGGAATACTGTAATAAACTGAAGAAAAGCTTGCTTTATTATTATTATTCTGATACTATTAAATAACACGACAGATCCCGCACCACACACAAAATCAGCTGCTTGAGAAATACGACACTATAGTGCAGGCCTATGCAGCAGCCAAAATTCTGATTTGTGTAATTCTGATTTTAATTGTGCGTTTCCTTCCTCACACTGAAATGTCATTTTTACCAGTGATTCCATTACATGACATCATTCAGGGAGCATGAAACTTCGGCGGCATCTCCAGCTCGATTCGATGTGTTAGTCGGCTTGGAACCAAAGTTAAAACATATGTTCATCTGCAGTGGCTTTTCTTCCTCAGAGCCACATTGGTCTGTTCTGGGTTTTGATGGCTTATACTGCAATGCTCATTAAATAATTATGTTTATTATAAAACAATAAAATGATTTTTAAAAATAAAATAAAATGTGGTAAAACATCCCATTAAAGCCTACTCAACATAAAAGCAATAATATGCTAACCACAAAATTAGGCTAACAATAAGCAAAATAATGTACACTGCGTATTGAAACGTTATTAAAATGATTAATGATAACATGAATAGGCCTAATAATAATAACAATAATCATAACAGTAAACGTGCAATTTTTGTTATCATGATCTATATTTATTGTTACTATTTAATGCAGCAGATAACCGTAAATAATCCTGCAAATAGTTGATTTTAAAAATCTGCATACATGCGTTCTGTTTTTGATTTATCTTTTATCGAATTGAATTTTCCGTCTTTATGCATTAAGTCAATTAAACCGTGGCTTTTCAGGAGCGTGTTTGTAAATTGTACTTGGCAAAGAACTGTGGAGCTTTTCACTATTGGGCTTTCTTGAGTTTCAAAGGCTTTATTTATTTATTCATTTATTTTGTTCATAATTAATTCTTCTTCCCAGAACCTCTGTGAAATATTGATAGAAGCTGCAGAACTATTATATTTCTGTCTAAACGGACAACTCGCAGCTGCTTTATTGAAAATAAATCAGGTTTGGACACAGAAAAAAAACACTCTGAAGAAGCTGTTCTGGGTGTGTTTTGAGTTAGGCATAACGTTTCACGCGTGTCAGAAACTGAAGGAAATCCCGAAAACCAAAAATATATATACATTTTAAGCAGTCCCGATTCTGTTCCAATACGTTTGTGTGTAAGCTAAACAAATATTAAAATCCCACTCTTTCAGACGTTTTAAAATGTCTATAATAACACCGTCTGGGTTGGGTTAAACCCAGGTTTGTTTCTCGTTCACTGTAGCGGGAAAATAAGAACTGTTGTTCCGAGCTCAAAGAAAAACCTACATCAGCATGTAGCCTATAAATGTATACATTTAATCGCCCTGCGCACACGCGCGCGTCGGTAGCTACTGTGTCTCGTTTGAAAAGACTTTCCACAGCTTAGCACAGTATTGTATCCAATAAAAAGCCGCTGCCCCGAGTCAACTGAGTAAATAAGATTTATTTATTCACAATTCTGGGCTATCTTATCCCCCCTCTTAATTCAGCGTGTGCAAATAAGTCAATGATTCATGTGGTCAATTTTAAATATGTTTGTTAATAATGTTAACAGGTCTACAACATGTCATCTCTACAACAATTAAAATGAACAGTTTCTATGCTCCAGCATCAAATCTGCCCACAAATTACTTTAACATTTATATGCTGAAGTCTTAAAGAGGCCATTGAAATATATTGTCTGTATAAAGTAATCCATAATTAGGCTGCAAGACCCCCTCATCCTCGTTTTGACCTCCTTAACATGAGTTCAGGCCTTAATTAGGGAGTTCACACTCTCAGTTCCTCCATAATTTGCACCTTGATTTTATTGAATAAGGAGCTCTGCAAATAGGCTTTTAACAAAACTGGAAGGATATATTTACATGGTTGCACTGAGTAGTGAGATGCACTTAATCTCGTCGCACATGTATATTGTAAACGTGTACAGTGACAATAAAAGGCTATTTATTCTATTCTAAAAGGTTGTTAAGCTTCACTGAGGAAGTACTAGAAAAAATGCAAAAACAATGAAAATTCTCATGTCCATCATCAGGGAAATAATTTTTAAAAATCCAGTCAATTGTAAATGTTATCAGTCTAAAAAACTCTTTTTTGAGCAAAAAATAAAATGTAAAACTCTTAAACCATAAAGATTTTTTTTCTCAGTGTTCTTTCCTCATTATTACCAAAGGCCAATATTAGTGGAAGGCGCTGTATCTGTCATTTTCACCAGCGCCCCTATTCCTGGATGTCTCAGTGAGTCCATAGACAAGTAATACAGACAGTGGTTTGCAGATGGAGGTGGTGGTGAGGAGATAAGCAGGTGTTTGTTCTTTGCAGAGCTAGTGTGTCTCAGTATAGTGAGGCCCCCCAAATCCCACCCCTTCCTCAATGATCACAGCCCTCATTCTGCAGCCACCTCCACTTGGCTGTTCCCCCCCGGCTTTGATCAAAGCCCTCCCACCCACCCACCCACACACACCCACACACACACGCACGCACGCACACACACACACACACACACACACAAATACAGCTGCCCATGTGTGAGCTTCTGCCACACACAAACACACACATACCATAAAAAAAAGAGTCCTCTGGGTGGGATAGCCGTGTTTGTGCAGTAGGGTGCAATGGATTGAAAGAAAAGAGATTGCCAAAAAGCTTGTGTGCGAGAAATGTGTTAGTGCTGGTAGCAACAACAGACTGAAAGCAAAGGAGTGCTTATGAAAGAGAGAGAGGGAGAGAGTGAGAGGGAGAGAAAGAGAGAGTGAGTAAGTGAGCCTGAGAGTTCACTGTTGTTTTGTGTACATGATTAAGCAACATGGGCTTTCAGATGTTTAGGCAGGCCTTCTCAACATACAAACAGACAAGACCACAAATGAAAGCCCACAAACTTGTTGTCAGTAAACATATGAGAAAAGTACAGCCATATGGCAACACCTGCATGTGCTTATTGTTCCAACGCCAACTGGAACAGTGCTTTGATTTTTCACTTGAATTGACATTGTAAGTTTCACACGATTACATTTGTTGAAAAGGAGTTATCAGCAACAAATGAACGTGTGAAACAAATGAACAAATAAAAGACCAGTATATTGCTATACATTTCTCAGTGCATTTAAACTAAAAAGATTAAACAGATTTATTTATTAAAATAATATTTTAGCCATCAAACATATTTAGAAATTGAAAGATAATACAATTAAATTCAAGCAAAATATTGCAAAAATTAAAATATATTAATATATATATATATATATATTTAATACATATTAATATATATATATATATATATATATATATATATATATATATATATATATATATATATTAAAATATTGAAAAAATTACAAACTACAAAATTTCAACTACATTTTTTCATTTTTTTGCTTCTCGTGAAATTTCCTCTTTTTCAAATTTGTATTTAATATTTTTCTATAACATATACATTTGGGTGTACTAGTTTTTGGACTGTTATCTTAAGTTATTTTGTTAGATAAGCTCCAGATTTGGCTTTAGTACTGACTAATGTATATGCACAAATATAATACTGTGTAGCTTAATATTAAAAATGTGAATTTAAAGATAGATTTGTGAGGGGTGTACTCATATATGCTGAGCAGTGTATATGGCACTAAATAATAAAAACAGTATATCGGAACCATAGCTAAAAAAATCAAATAATATAATATTTAATTAACACAAAAGATACATATATTTTAATATTGTCTTATGAATAAAAATGATAACATGTATCCTAAAGCATTTTAACAAATTGAATTCCTCTTTATCTTTCTCCACCATAAACTTTTCATCTCCTCAGCCTATGAAAACAATTTAATGGCCAATTATTTAATAAAAAAAAACTCCAGTTGATAAGAGCTAAAAAATATTTTCATTTACCTTAAAAGAGAATGAAGGGATAGGAAAGAAAACAGTTGCAGTTTTATCAAAGAAATGTCTAAACTGGATTAAAAAAAGTTGGACGTTAATTATGATAAATTATGCACATGCAACACAAAGCCGTAAAAAGCATAAACAGTAAGACAAAATACAGCACGCACCTATCATGAGTCTGTCATAAAAACATCAACTGGCTTTTTTCTTTACATCTCAAGGTTGTTGTCACAGCACTTATGGTTGAGATCAAAGCAGGGCATCCTGAAAACTGCCAAAGGGTAGACCGAGCTGAAAGACAATCATAAGAGAGACAGTGGTAAGAGGATGACACATAGAGAGTCATGACTGCACCCTACCCAATGTACAATGTGCCTTATGCCAATGAGAGATTCCTCACACAGGCCTGTTGTCTACAAATCCACATGGATAAGAATTTCACTTATACAGAAAAAAAACAGAGAGTGTTTTTTAGGCATCGTCTTTGTGCTTCTCAGAAGTGATCAGATGTTTTTAATGCAGCTAGGCTCTAAATAAACACCCTCCAGCTGCTGTTATTTTATCAACAGAGCTTGACAAATTTTGTGCATTATTTTTTTACATAAAGCATAATGTGGAACAATTTAAGGGTCTTAAATCCAGTCTAAACTTCTGCAAAACTAAAATAAGCCATGTTAATTCTTGCACTTACAAAATTAATGCACATCTCTAAATGTAACAAACCGTTTATCTAACTAAGTTTTTAAAAATTTTTTACCCTGAAGGTAATAAAACATGCAAAACCCATTATTTTAATTTACTCCTAAGCGTGTGCGAATAAACAATAACACAAAGAATGGTAAAACACAGGCCTTTTCCATGAGGATGGAAAGCATATTCATCCATAATGCATGATATGACGTTAGCTAGTTGCTCATTCCTTCCAAATGTTTCATCTGGTTCTCCTGACTCTCTTCAAGTGCTGATACCAGACAGAGAGACAGAAACTCATGAAACTCTAATCCCCTGCCTGTTTATGTAAGCTCCTGCCAGTGCTGTTAAACAGCCTCTTATTTTTGGTTCAACCTGTGGAGAGGCCAAAAACCCAAACTATTGAGCCGGTCTGAGAAACAGTGTATGTTTGTGAGGCCGAGTGTTTATAAGAGAGAGAGGGAGAGATGGAAGAGAAAAAGAAGCTAACAAATACCAAGACGTTTAATTCACTTTTTTGCTATTTTACCATCTGCTACTGCTTTTTAAAAGCTTTTGTGTAATGCCTAATAGTTTTATAAATAAAACCACAAAAATGTTGTTTATTTTGCTGGCTAACATACACAACAAATAACAGGTTTGTGGCCTTTATCTGCTCCACAAGTTGTAAATGAGATGTGGTACTTTCAGGACATCAGTAATCGCAAATGCTACATGTTTGGGTTACATTGTCACAGTATATTTACCCAGGTTAACATTGATTTTGGGCGCTGAACTTTTCCGAGCTGCTTTATCCAATGAGTAGCAAGACGTTTCCATATATAGTGCTAAATCATGACACACGCCACTGTTTTCATTGTATAAGGGAGCAAATACACTTACCTTACGTGTTTGACTGTCTGCCTTTCTTTCTCATGTAACGTTAGCTTAGCTAAACGTGATTCTTTCCAATGCATCCATTTGTTCTAAACAGCCATAAACATGTAGCATATGAAACTATGATTCATTCTAGAGAATCGGTTCAATCGAACGGTTCACGTAACTTGACAAATTTACAAACATGATACAAATACAGGTTTAGGCCCAATCCCAATTCTACCACTTAGCCCTTCCCCTTACCCCCGTTTTCCCAATTTTCTTTAGCTTGAAGGCGTAGGGCTTACACCCCTTCGAACAAAGATTTTTCAGAACCACACTCGAAACCAAGGGGTAAGAAAATTTGCCAGAATGCACCTGCCACTACAGCAGCATCGCAGCACCCGAAAGTAAGGATATCCTCAAATTTGTTATTTTTTTTTGTCATTATATGAATTTTTACAACAAACAAGCACATTTTAAAACATTCATAACAGCGTTGGTGTTTTACCGTCATGCCTAAAAAAAAATAAAAAAACGCTTAAAAAAATAATAATAAATACATTTCGCAATCTATAATCCATAATAATAAATCCTGTATAGCAGTCCCACAACATTCTGACAATCGATGACACTCAAATACCCTGTCAGTAATGATTAGTGGCTGGGAATGAGCTTTTTACAGTCTGCTATAATGTTAATGTTGTTTTCGTGGAATTATATAGATGAATATGGCCACTGTGTAAATGCACAGTACACCACATTACCACATTAGATCGTTTTGATAACATAATGTATGCCTTCAGGGATTTCATGAAGATAAATACCAAAAAATAGCACAACTGGAATAACTACACCAGTCGCCATAGTCTGATCTCATATGAAGGAAGAAATTGCAAAGACATGATAAAGGGTGCAGGTGTTGTAGTGCTGTCCCAATTCTTAGGGGTACATTTTAAAGCCCTTCCCCTTCACCCTCGGTTTTAAGGGCAAGGGAATGTAAGGGTACAAAAATAGAATTGGGATTGGCCCTTAATCTTTGTGCACTGTTCAAACTATTGTCAATGGGACAAAAACCAACAGCAAATTAAAGAGAGAAAAAAAAAATCAAAAACAATGTATCAAAAGCAATATTGTTTCACATGTCCAAGACTTTGATAAAAAGGAAAAAAATACAGTCCACAATTAAGTTTTATATTGAAAATATGGAATTTTGTGTGTTTTGTCACCAAATCAGTGACATCATTTATGAACTTGGCAATTAAAGAGTTAAAACCCTAACATTTTGATTAGAACTGAGGTTGATTAAAAGATTTATACAAAAAAGTAAAAAAAATCCATCTGATGCACTTTTACAGCAGTTTAATTCAGTGAATGTTTTTATCCTGAACATAACAAAAGGGTGGTAAATTTGCCCAGAGTGTTTTGTTGAGTTTAAAAAATAAATCAAAGCAATTTTTAAAATATGTGTCAAAATAAGATTTGTCACCAAAAATCATTCTGCTAGCTGAAACACAGAAAATGTTATGGAAAATTAGGACTCAGTTTAGTTTATTCAATTCACCTAAAGCGCATCTCTTTGGACTGTGGGGGAAACTGGAGCACCCAGAGATAATCCATACAAACACAGGGAGAACAAACTCCACACAGAAATGCCAACTAGACCAGCTGGGACTCAAACCAGCGACGTTCTTGCTGTGAGGCAACAGTGCTAATCACTGAGCCACCGTGTCACCCTATAAACCATTTCAGTGCGGTCATGCCATTGGCCCATGAACATTTCCTGCTTGTTATTAAACTATTTCATAACTGTAACAAGAGGCAATTCAATCATAAATAATGTTATGATAGCTGTTTTAAAATTAAGTTATCAATGTGTGGCTCTTTTTGGATTGTCAGAAGCTATAGAAATTAAAAATCTAAAACAGAAAATACGTTGGGACCATTGTTTTTGTTTACATCCTTAAAATGGTCTATATGAATTTCGATCTTTGGTGTTCCCTCTCAGTGTCAACCTTTAAACCGGAGACACGCTGACATTGTGGCTTTTGCATCTCCTCTCACTAGGCGCAGAATACTGTTGTTTTGGACCTCCTCACAATCCCCCTCAATTTCATTGTGGCTCAAAGATTTAGTCTTCTTTTTAAAACGAGAAAATTAAATACAATAAAGGTTGGGGACAACAGTTTTTTTTTTTTTTTTATGGCAACAATTTATTGCATTCTTTAATAATTTAAAAACCTTAGATGTGAATTGAGTGAAGGTATGTGTATGATTGTATATGGTTTTTGTTATTATTTTTACTCTGTATTTGTATTTATTTTATTTGTTATTATTATTATTTTGTTTATTTTGTTTATTTTATTTATTTATTTATTTATTTATTTATTTTCAGATGTTAATTGTTTTATTTGGGGATTGTTTTGTGGGTTGTTATAAAATGTAAAATGGTATTTGCAAGAATAACAATTCCATGACAAAAAAGGGCTATATGTAACATTTTTTATAAAATTTTAACTAAAACATTTTGTTTAATAATGTTCTGACAATATATATATTTTAAATTTGCAAGAAATGTTAGCATACGTTTACAGAATGAAACAAATATAAACATTTTACTCTAACCCATACCTAATAAATCCAAAAAAAAAAAAAAAAGAGTATTGTCAAGAGGTATGTAGGCTATACAGTATTTTGTCTATGTAGTAAGATATTTTGTTTTTCAGTGTAATTACCTACTTTTTGTTCTTCAAAGTGTTTTTACATGTTTTACTTCAAATTAAGCTTGTAGCTTGCCAAGCAAAGGAGCATCCTCATCTCACTGGTCATCAACTGTTGATCATGGCCACACTCCTACAGTATGTCCTCTGATACAAGCAGTGATAGAAATAACGAAAGCAACTGTGGATTATAGTCACACTGCACTCTTATACTTTGAATGTGAGGGTTGTTTAGGCTGGCTGAGTTTTATGCAGTGATGTGATTTCAAGGTATTCAAAAGCTATAATGCAGTCAGCACTCAACAAGCTTCATGGCTGGTAGGAGACTAGAAGCCGGCGTTTGGACATCTGCAACCTCAGAGTCCTGTAAATTCAGCAGACAGTCAGTTCACTGCAAATACACCAGTAAAACAGTGTAAAACTGTGAGATATACTGCTAATGGGAGAAAGGGAAATGAATGAAAAAAATGGAGGTGGAAAAATATGGAAAATGAGAGATGAATTGTGAGGCCTGTGACTGTGGAAGAATGTAAGGCTTTCCCTGAGCACAGGAATGGTAACTGAGAGTCTATAAATCCACTAATGTTTTACATCGGCAGAAATATCATATGTTCAAAACAATCTCTATACACAAAACACATACGCCGACACAGTCCATTGGCTTTTACTGCACATTCTATGGTGCTGACGAAACAGCTTGGAGTGAAACTGGAATTTTCTGTGTGGAAAAACAAAGAAAAACCATTTATGAAATATATTTGTGATCATCTTATGCAGTGTGTGCACTTTTGTAAACAGTAAAATACAACAAAATATCTTCAATTATGAGCTAATAATTAACATAAAATAAATAATGACAAAATAAATCTATCTATCTATCTATCTATCTATCTATCTATCTATCTATCTATCTATCTATCTATCTATCTATCTATCTATCTATCTATCTATCTCTGTCTGTCTGTGTTTATCTGTGTCTGTCCTTCCGTCCACCACCCATCGGTCCATCCTTCAATCCATCCGTCT